TGTGCCCGGTTCACTTGCTGTTCCAGCAACTTCCACTCCATCATCAGCTTTAGTAAAATAACCTGATAGCTGGGGAATTTACTAAATCATGTTTTTTTTATGTTGTTTGTATTTGAAGTTTTTCGTTTTTTGAGCCCCTCTCTCTTTTAGAATTGCTGACATTTTTACTTATTGGAATGTTGTTCTTTGCGCGACCATTTCCAGATTACTCCAGAACAAAGTGAAGAGAGGTGAATGCAGACATACTGGGCAGCAATCACCTGATAGATACGTGCGCATATCGTTCAAAAGTCAAATATAGAATAAATGCATTTGATTGGTAAACCAAATTCAAACTTTACGTTTCAATCTCAAATGGTAATGCATGGAATTTACTGAAAAGCTCAACTAAATAACAGCGTGGTGGCTTTGGCGATCGGCGCTCCAGTCAATCTACTCCACAGCCAATCACGGGCCCCCTCCTTGCTCGGGCCCCGGGGCTTCAGCCCGGCTAGCCCAATGGTTAAAACGGCCCTGATCGCAAGTCATTTGGTTTAGATTGGAACTTCAGAGCGGGTTATTTAGATCGGGACTTCGGAGTGCTTATCGCAAATCATTTGATTGAGATCAGGACTTTGGAGCATGTTCGCGAATCTTTTGATTCAGATCGGGAATCTTTTTTTTCTGGTTTCTTTCTTTCTTTTTTCTTAAACAGTTAAAAACATCCAACCATTAAGAGAGTACAGTTCTAAAAACAAAACAAAGAAAAAAGAAAGTAAGAAAGATACAGATATAAATCCCTTAAGAAAGTTAACCATGGTTTTATTATAGCTAGTAAAATTGTTGTTTTATATTTTTATTTATTTATATATTTTTTCTTTTTTCTTTCTTTCTTTTTTTTTTACATTGTGTGTTTTTTTTTTTGTATTAAAACCATGGTTAATTTTCATAAGGGATGTTTTGCCAGGTTAACAAAAAAGTAATACATTTACACCTTAAGAAGACCCATACTGTAGGATGAATATAGAGATGCATTTTCACTGTTTTAGGCTTATCAGAGCTTTGGAGAGTTTCCATATCTACTTATCTAGATCAACTTTGAATAAAGAAAAGAGAGCTTGAGGGCCAGATTTTTGTTTATGTGGTATTTTGGAATAAAGACAAGGATGTTCAATAACACAGAATGTCCAAATAAAATCAGCAACTATGCCACTCATCTCTCTAAATATTTAAAAACACTGGTAATGAAATCTGACAATGACATGAAATCTAAAATTACAAGCACTGTTGTTGTTGTTTTAGTTATTTCATTATAATTTAAAAGAAATTACAGGCCATTAATTATAAAACTTGTTCCATGTCATTTAATATCTATGTTACAATGGCAGACACATATTTTATTTTGGAACTAATAAAAAAAAATATATACTATACAGGTGCATCTCAATAAATTAGAATGTCGTGGAAAAGTTCATTTATTTCAGTAATTCAACTCAAATTGTGAAACTCGTGTATTAAATAAATTCAATGCACACAGACTGAAGTAGTTTAAGTCTTTGGTTCTTTTAATTGTGATGATTTTGGCTCACATTTAACAAAAAATAATAAAAATCACAAAGTATGTCTCCAAGTGCAAAAATGCAAATGTCTGTCCAAATAAAAATTATGTAATCAAGCTCAGAGAGAGCTTTGGGTTGCCACTATAAAATCGAATTAAATTTGTTTGGTGAGAGCTATCTGGAAGAACCAAATCTAATCTGAACACCTGAGGAGGAACATTACCTGAACTGTTTGCTTAAGATCTGAAACAACTTCCTGTTAAGATGGTAGGCTCATACTGGCCACACAAATATATGCAGTACTGCGCATGTCAGGAAAACATGAACAGTTCTGCATATTCATTGACATCTGCTGTCTTTTGTGACATTATTACTATTATTATTGCATTTCCAAAAATACAGCATGTGGATCTTTCATACTTTGGTGATCAATCCCTCCAGCTTCAATCACATGCTGCTCTTATTATCACTAAGCTTTTACAGAACAAGCTGACACAAATACATTATCCGCCCACCATTGACTCTATATCAGAAATATTCTTCCTATTTAGCAAGAGTCATGCCTTTGCTGCTGTATTTCATCACACAACGTGCACCATTAATCTTTAACCATTAAATGAGGTGTGTCTTCTTCCACATTCATGAGTGATAATCATAAACCAAATTAAAAAAAACAAGCATACATCTCAATCAGAATTACCGATCTGGGTCTCAGTGGTGTGAAAAAGAAACAGATTCATTAAATGAAAGGGCTAAACTAACTGGTTCATCATAAGATTAACTGGTTCCGGATACTGTTCCTTATTGACCCATGTACGGATCCTTTTATGTTTATTACTGTCTTTATGATTAATAAATAACTTATCAACAAGAGATTGGGCGTGGATTTTGTCTCCTTTGAGGAAAGGTCCTGTGCTGGATATATTTAGAGGACAATACCCTCATATCATTTTCTAGCTTGAATTGGGTTTCCATCATTTACGTTGTTTTGTTAATACTTGTGTGTTTTTCATTCTAGAGAAATGTCATAACACAGTAAGTAGTAATTTAATTCATGATGAATTAAATTACATAACATGGTAATGTAATCAATGTTTCTCTTTATGGATGGTTTGCCTTTTCTAACTTTAAACATAGAAAGTTTTAATTTAAATGCTTTGAATTTGAAAGGTTTTTGAACTTTTTCTTTTCAGTTAGGACACCATAGAAATACTTTCTCTTTTTATTTATTTATTTTTTAGATATATCATGCATACCTTCAATAAATACCTGCTTGTGACTGTTTACATGTGGATTTTGGGCTCTTCTCTCAATTGTGCAGGTATGATTTTTCTCTAAACTCTCATTTATTTTGTAATTATCTTTTTTTTCCCATGTTCGTGTTACTCTATTTCTTGGGAAAATATCAGTAAAAGTTTTTCTATTGCTAAAAAGGATATTACTTGTTGATTATTATAATTTTTTAGTGAAGGGAAAGGCCTGTGTTTAACTCTGTTATGTTTGACATTTATAAGTGTCTGTTAATAGTGACAAGAGCTAAGAATGACAAGTCATATTTTGCTTGTTAACATGTGAGTGATCGTTTTAAAAAGACTGATGCAATCCGTTGCATTAATTGGTTTTGTTCAACCAAAACTTTGCTCTTAGCTGAAAATAGATGCCTAATCTGTAATCTGTAACTTTTAGGTGCAAGCCTATGGGGGATGAAGACGGCCTTTACTAGCCGATCCTGTGTTTGGCTGCTGAATAAAAGAGCTATCATCCCACCTTTAGTGGAACTGAGTGTCTGCGTCAACCTCAGTAGAATGATTGGCACTTCTGAATGGACTGCTTTTGACTACAAAGGTCCAGGTCAACAGCACATGGAGTTTGGCTTAGCTGGAAATATGGGCAATGTAAAAGCCTCTCTTTTTGGAGAAGAATGGACAGTTGCTTATGACATGCCTGTAAACATGTGGCACACAGTTTGTCTGACATGGTCGAGTCATAATAGGCTTTTCCAGGTGATCATTAATAAAGCAGTTTTTGAATTTCCCTTGAATGAAAAGTCACCCAGGTACCTTGCCGCAAATGGTACCCTGAGTTTGGGAGTGTCACATCATTTTGTTGGAGGTTCTATTGATTTTGAGACTGGGAAGAACTTTCTGGGGGACATGTCCTTGTTCCGGATGTGGGGAGTGCAGATGAGTCCACAGCAGCTGGATGCACGCAGATGTGTAGATGGGAATATTGTGACTTGGAGAGAGCAAGATTGGGATTATCAGAAGTGTCCACCCATTCCGGATGACAACTTTCTTTGCGGTGAGAAATTGCTCTCTGTAAAGAGTACAAGACTATTTCTAGAAGAGGAAATATAGAATGAATGTTACAATAACTTGTGTTATATGATGAAATGCATTATTGTCATTGCATTCTAATTAACTGTATCTTCACCACATTTCAGAATCATCAAAATATAAAATTCAAATGAACACAGCTATTACACAAAATATCAATAATGATAATACTGAAAATTATATCCAGGAAATTGTTTTAATCTGGGTAAGATAATATTTCCATTTATGTGTGTATATAATGTTATAATATATATAACATTTAACATTTTCACTTACACATTAGCATTTATATACTGAATTGATATATTTTTAATTTCAGCTGAAGCACGTTTTCCCTCAGAAAATATCAGTGCATTCTGTGTTCCTGTCAAATTTAAGGTAATTATTTCATTTTTTAAAACTAACTAACCAACGAGCAAACATACATACATAGATATCCAAATATTTGTACAACTTGCATTATGTAAGCATGTGATGTTATATGGTATCCATGCAATGTTATGTTATTTTATTGTCTAAGAGAAGTGCCAAAATTTAGCCCTCAAACAGGAGCTGGTTTAGCTGGACAAAATATGGAGGAAATTCAGGTATAGCATATACCATAATTATTCATGATTAAGTGGACATATATAATTTATATCCTTATATTATAACACTGCAAAACACTAAAACATTAAAACATATAACATATAGCAATGTTTTACATATAAATGTAACATTATGCTTCTTTGAAGGGCACTGTAAAGTCACCAGTCAAGACACAATGGTAAAAATTATCATACACCCGCAATACACAAATATATGTCACAAGTTTATATCAAACCATCTAAAGGAGGATTTGTCATGTTTGTGGTCTTAGGTTTGATTGTGTGGTGTTTGTGAGAGTGATACCTGCAGCTGATGTGAGTGAAACAGTGTCTATGATACAGGGGCTGTTAATACCCATCTATATCTACAACAACATCCTCCTGAAAACAAACCCAGCATCTATAAACATCCTCTCAGTAGGTACGTAGCTGTCTGTAAGCGGTTGGAAGAGGAGCGTTCAGTCAACAAAAAAAGTCACTGTTTTGAATTTTACAGCTGTCTTTCCCAACGCGACTTCAAATCCTGCTTTGACCACTGTTGCACCAGTCTCAAGTACAAATATTACAATATCAGGTCTGTGCCATTCAGAGCTTCATAACTCACCAAGTAAATGCTTTTATTAATCCAGAAGACTTTTCACCATAATTCATATACAAAAGTACTAAAAACTCACATTCCTTTTCAAGAGCTCATATGCAAAACATTTTGTTCTTCAGGAACCCGCACAGCATCACAAACACTGGCAATGGAAAAGATCTGTTTAATCACTTCAGGCTTCATTTCAAACAGAGGTGAGTTAAACAATGACATAACACATATTTTTGTATGGTTTGTACATTGTGGATATACCAGAATCTTTGAAAAACAAATAAAGTGACAACTATGTAAAACATATTTAAATGCAGGTTTTATGAGGGTAACAAATCTTTGTGCAAAATATAGAATCATATTGAATAAATTATCCTTATTATGTGTTTCTTTTAAATGAGTGATATTATTTTCTGTCAAATAATGTGTAAATATTTTGCAGTATATTATGTTGTATTTTAAACAGTTAATTTAATTGGTAACACTTTATTTTAAGGTGTCCTTATTACACATTTCACATGTACTTACTATTATAATAACAATAAACTATTCATAATTACATGCAAGTAAACCTAAGCCAAACCCTAATCCTAACTCTAAACATATAGTAAGTACATTTAAATTTTACTCAGTACTTAAATGTATAATTATACTGTAACAAGGACACCTTAAATTAAAGTTTAACCATTTAATTTACTAATGTTTCACCAGATTTTGGAGACATTTTTTATAGAGTTTATCTCAATCTAACAATGAGTGGCAGCATCACAGACCCTCAACACACTATACAGCAATGGGTGAGTAATGACATATTCTAAAAAGTAATTTGGACCATACCTTTGTATTTGACGTGCTTCTTTCTTCAGCTTCAGCAAACACTGGGAAAATGCAACATGGATGTTTGGAACCTTGTGATAAAAGGAGGTCCTAAGTAAGTGTCCCAACATGGAATACATGATACACGCAAATGCAGATGAAATAGATGCTGTATTGTTACTCAAATAAAATATTTTTCAGGTACATCACTACTTTTCAGGTTCAGGCTATGGCACCAGTGAATGTCACAGCAACAGAGAGACTGATTTTTGAACTTTTGACAAAAGGATACACCAATGCTACCATCAGTATCAGTGTCCCGTCCGGTGAAGTTAACATCAGCCATATAGGTACTGTCTGATTTTGGCCTTATACTGGAATTAAAGACATATTAATGGAGCCAAAATATGTGTATGGTTTCTCAATGCTGTTTATTGTTGCAGAACCAGGCCTTTGTCCAGAGGAAACCATGCTCACAGTGTATGGTGTATACATGTGGCCCGAAATGACAGTTCAAAGTGAATATAGCATGGGGTGTGTAAGAGGGAATGAAATTGCTTCAAGGTTTTGGTAAGTACTACACATTGTGCAGTGGCTTTGCAACTAATACACAGGTTGTTAAAATATGAGCATCAGCCAATTAATCTATTGAGGTATTAAAAAACAAATTTCCAATTTGTTTTATGGACGTTATCATTTTTTAATCGCCATTGCATAAGTGAAATTCTGCTTTGTTTCTATAGATACAATTCAATGGCCCTGGAAAAACATTCAGATAACACTAGTTTGCCATGTGTTTATCTTTGCGTCATTTGGCACACAAACTATACAAACAATCCTGTGCTGCCCTGCTGATTAATATGCCTTATCTTTTTCTTGTGGAAAGCAATATCCTTTAATTGAATAATTAGCTTGACAATACTGCTTGGACTCCTGACAATGCAAATATTAACTCCCAGTACAGCAATATAACACCAGTCACCATTGCATAAAACTGATCTTTTCAAGAGCTCTAAGAAACCTCAGGAAAAGCTGTACTACAATCATTTCTAAAACCTTGAAAATAATATTTTCTTGACATATTCACTGCTGCCAAAATGGGTTTTAATAAAAAATGTGAACATTTTTAAAAGAAAAATGTGATGCTTTGAATGTTCAGAGAACATTCAGAATTAACATTTTCATAACTTGGCAAATCACTGGCAAAACATTCTTTAAAAAATGTTGTTGGCTGGGGAGCTGTCAAAAGTCCTTTGCTGACAAACAAGGGTGTAGAATTTAGTAGGGATGCTAGTTACATGTCCCTAGTAATGTCCATCAACTACTACATTGTCCATAGCTATAATTTTGAGCAAATAATTAAATATGTAACCATGTTTATGTAACCACTGTTGTTGTAATTTCGGCCACATCAGAAATAGGTCATACAATTAATATTACCTTGAGAAGCTAAAGTAAATAACATTCTCTTTAACATTTTTTTTAAAACTAAATGTACAAAGCAAACTCTTGGCTGAAATATCCACAAAATAATAAATAAACGAAATTGTGGTCAAAAGTCTATCATAAATGCGAAAATGTTGGGGTATTTAGATTGGGAGGGGGGGTTGTTCTGCTGTTATGTCCCCTCCAGTGTCAAAATCAAACCTTCACCCTCGCAGTTTTGTGTTCTTTTGCTTCACCCATTTGCTTTTTGACTATCACACTATAATATAGACTAATACAATCCCATTTTAACAATAATTTCTCAAATATTAATTACAATGTATACTAATAAATGTAACATTTATTTACTTAAGTGGTATGAGATGACTGGATGCATTCAACTTATTTCCTATTGAACTGTCACCAACTGAATTGCGGTGGTCAAACTATTTAAAATATAGTGAATTAAGCTACAAACTCAAGCATCAAGCACAATGTTTCCATATAGGATAACATATGTATTTTGAGGTGCTCATCATATTAATGGAGTATTTCACTAATTAGGAGTAAACCGGTTACCTCAAATGAGAATGTTGGATATTATGTTGGATGTTTTGACATGGAAAGCATCTTCAGAATCAGAATTGAAATATGGATATTTTTATTTGTAAACAAAATACATTTTCTGCTTATTTCAGTTAATGTCATAAAACTAGCGAGCTAAGGAAGTAGTAGTATTGACAATATCATATAAACATTGCTGAAGGCGTAAACAACGGAGGAACAGACAAACTATGGAAAGCTGTTTTAACATTTAAAGGTGGGGTAAGTGATTTCTGGTAGCCAATGTTGATACAAAACAAACACGCCCCTACCCCAAAAGGGTCTCGCCCCTATTTTGATAGCTCTGCCCCACACATACGTACGCAACCCAGGCAACGATTATGGCGGAATCTGCTGTATTATTATCTGCTGTATTAAACATATTATCTTACTTTCGGACACACACTGGGAGCTGATGCTTGAAACAGACAGTGGAAGAGGTTTAGACGCTCCAGGCTTATAGGGTGTGGAAATGAATGTGTCTTTATCATAGCTGAAGGGAACGACAATACGATTGCAGATGAACAAACAAGCGAACATGACACAC